AGAAACCCTAATCTTAAGCCACCATGGAAATGGTGAGTGAAACTTTGAAGAATAAGAAGAAAATAAAGATGCCTAAATGTAATTTTTTGTTTATTGGTTTATATTGGTTTACCCCCTACAATGCGAGAGAGTTTTGATTTACCCGTAATTAAAATTTAAAAAAAATCCACATAGATTTTAAAAAATTATTTAAAAAAACCACCTAGACAAATCACGTCAGCAAAAGTGAATATTCCTTGCCAAGTTGTCACCTAAGAAGGCAAAGCAACATAATATTTACATTATAAAGGGGAATCAATTTTTTACAAGGGGTAAACCAAAACTCGTGCACATTGTAGGGATATCATATATTAAACCTTTTTCTTAATGATATGATACTCAAGGAAATGTTTAATATGTTTTGTAGGTCGGATGAAGTCAATAAAAGGGATAAAAAAAGGAATGTGGCGAATTTTTAGAAAGATTCATAAATTATATTTTCATCATATTTTATATCATGATATTTGTGTGGTATTTTGACCATATCTAAAGCGTCTTGAATTTAATTGATGTGCGACCAGAGGAAGATGAAAGCTAACATCAAGGGCTAAAAATCTTATGAAAAAGTAAAATGCTAAATTGACTTTTCCCCTCTATCTAAACTCGTTCCCAAACGCATATGCCAGAGTCAAACGCCCCAAACACGTTTAGGGCTTAATTGGGCAATTTTCCTCTATCAAACGCATTGGCGTTTGAACGCCTAAATATAGTCCAAATGACCAATTTCATATTTAAATGAAAGAAACCTTATCTTTACTGATTATTCTTAGATATTAACAGTAAAAGAACATATTAGAGCAAGGGGACACATGATAGGAGTGACGATAAGCACCCAGCTCAACGAAATTTTCCATTGAATTTTCCTTCTTTGTGATTATTATGTAATCTTTATTTCTTTTATAATGTATTTTGTTCAAGTTATGAGTAGCTAAATCCATAATTATAGGGATGTGTAACTGCTCTTGATGAATTTTGTATTTCTGAATTGATATTTGTAATGACTAAGTATTTTATTCTAGTATGATTTACTTCTATTCGTTCTTAATGCTTTTCTCTCTTTGATTAATTGTGAATTGTTATATTTCGAAAGGACTTTTAACAAGTAACGATTGTTAGAAATATTTTTGATTGGTTATCACCTAGACCTAGAAATATCAACTAAAAACTGAATTGTTCTTGATAACTACGCGTTTGATTTTATCTACTATTTGCTAATAGCCATAGAAATTGATTTAAAACCAAAAGTTTATTCGCTAAAATATTATGAATAATTAATCTAGAAAACCAACAATCATTAGGAACGAATCTTAATTGTTACATGGCGATAACATGATAAATTTAGGTTAACAATATGATTTCTCGATATTATTACATTGGCAAAACTAGGATACTTATTAATTTATCAATAAATGATCTACTTAACTATTTATTAGATTTTTAATCTTTTCTCATTTACCAAATTTATTTATTTGAAGTTTTTTTTATAGATTTTTTAATGAGATAAATACTGATGATCTTGTGGGTTGTTCCTTTAAATTGTAGCATATATAATTTTTCCAAGTTTAGTTCTCCTTATTTTATTGTTATGTTGCAAAATACTCCTATGTAAATGGTTATAGAATGATAACATAGTTAGGATGACAATGTTAAATATGTAATTCATTCTTTTGAAAATATTAGATTTGATTTAGAAAGATCATATTTGATCTAGAAAGATTAGATTATATATTTTTTGACTTTTATAGTTTGATAATCTAAATCTATAAATAGGAAGGAACCCTTACCATTGTAATAATTAAGTTTGATAATCACGGTTTTGCAGTTGCAAAGTGATAATAAGAAATATTCCACAGTTTGTGGGCAGCGAGTTCTCTACAGAAATCCATCTCTTCTCCAACGTTTTTCTTTCTTTCTTTCTAATCTGTTCATTGTCATTGCATTAGTGGAAACAATCTTGAGATTAAGATTGAGTAGGAATTCTCAATAGGTTGTGGTTGAATTCCAACATCTGGTATCTAGAGCTCCAGTTTTGATTCAAGGGAAGAACAATTGTAATGGCGATGAATCACCCGAACGGTCACTTTCCAGCAAATCTTCCAATTCTCAAGAAAGATAATTATGAGAATTGGTGCAAGCAGATTAAAGTGGTTTTTTGTTACCAAGATCTTTGGGATCTTGTGAAGGAAGGATTATCACCGCTTGCAGAAACTGTGACAGATCAGGAGAAAGCAACATTTAAAGAATTGAAGAAGAAAAATCATAAAGTTCTCTTTATAATCCATAAATATGTTGATCCAAATAACTTTGAAAATGTTAGTGATGTAGAATCAGCAAAAGAAGCTTGGGAGATTCTTGAAAAATCATTTGGATGCACAAAGAAGGTGAAAGGGGTGAGGTTACAAATTCACAAAAGGACTTATGAATTGCTTCAGATGGAAGACAATGAAAGTATAATAGATTTCTTCACCATGGTTACAAAGCTGGTGAATCAAATCAAGGTATGTGGAGAATTGTTGACATCAAGATTAGTTGTGTCAAAGATCTTGAGGTCGTTGGCTCCAAAATTTGACCACGTGGTAATAGCCATAGAAGAGTCAAAAAACTTGTCAGTATTGACGAAGGAAGAGCTTCAAGGGACACTTGAGTCTCATGAACAAATTATGGATGAAAGAGCTGCAGGAAAGTAGAAAGGTGATATGGCTTTGCAAGCACAGTCAGAAAAAGAAAGGAAATGCAAAGGAAGCTGGATTGGAAACAAAGGTAGAGAAGGCTACACCAATTCGACTGGTTGAAATCAGCATGAAGGAAACTGGTCGAATAAGAGAAAACCCTGGAACCAAGGCAACCAAAAAGGTGGCGCTGCAGGTAGAGGAAGAGGTGGTGGTCGAAAGCATGACAAAAGTCACATTCATTGTTTCAATTGTCAGAAGTATGGTCACTATTTTAGTGATTGTCTAGAAAATAAGAAGAATCAAGAAACTGATGTAAAGCTGGCGAAACATGAAGAAGAAGAGATGTTGTTAATGGTCACAACAAGAGACGAAGAGAGATTTTAAGACCAGTGGTACTTGGACTCAGGATGCTCGTCACACATGACTGGAAGGAAAGATTGGTTTGTCAACATGAAGCCCTCGTCGAAGAACACAATGAAGTTTACAAATGACAACACTCTAGCAGCTGGAGGTGTTGGTGATGTTTAAAGCGTGAGGAAGGATGGCAAGAAATCAATAATTTCCAATGTGTTGTACATACCAAACATGAAGAGTAATTTTCTCAGTATAGGGCAGCTGGTCTAAAAACACTACAAGGTGTCGATCAAAGACAAGATGATGAGAGTTCTCGACTCAGGTGGTAGGTTGGTCTTGAAGGCTCTAATGTCTCACAATAGGACCTTCAATATTGAACTCAATGTGATGGAGCACAAGTGCCTAACAACTGCAGCCAGCAGAGATGAGTGGTTATGTCATTTTCGATTAGGCCGTCTCAACTTCAATGATATCAGAGAGCTAAAGAGAAGAAATATGGTTTCAGTATTATCAGAAATCGACATTCCAAGCGAAGTGTGTGCAGAATGTGTTCAGGCGAAACAACACAAGAATAACTTCAACAAGGATGTAGGAAGCAAGTCTAAGGCCATTCTTGAAGTCATATACTCTGATGTATGTGGTCATATCCAGGTGGATTTGATTGGAGGTAACAAATACTTTGTCACGTTCATAGATGATTTCAGTCGAAAGTTGTGGACTTACTTGATCAAGAAGAAAAGTGAAGTGATCGAGGTGTTTGCCAAGTTTAAATCTATGGTTGAAAGCTAAAGATTCTGAGGACTAATGGTGGAGGAGAGTACGCGTCGAAATATTTTGATGCATTATGTGAAAAAGAACGGATTGTGCATGAGGTGGTGCCACCTTACACTCCACAATAAAATGGAATTGCAGAAAGAAAAATAGAACCATCATGAACATTGTGAGAAATATGTTGAATGGAAAGCATCTACCTAAAGAATTATGGGGAGAAGCGGTTTCAACAACATCATACATATTAAACAGATGTCCGACGAAGAAGTTTGAAGGAATCACACCAGAAGAACGATGGTCTGGTGTCAAGTCTAGCCTCAGTCACTTGAAGGTGTTTTGATCTATAGCACATAGACCAGATCAGTTGAGAAGGAATCTTGATGACAAGTCGAATCATATGATTTTGATAGGATATCATTCGACTGAAAGTTACAAGTTGTTCGATCCAGTGAATAAGCAAGTTGTTCAACAGTTATTTTTTTTCGTAATTGTGATTATCTACATTAAATAAATTGAATCAATGTTTTTTTCTAAATAAAAAATTCATAATCTATAATAGTATATTCCCTCAAAATTTCTAGTACAAAAAAGTTTATTTTTCAAATTAATTGAATATCTCGTATATCAGGTTTATATAAAATACTATAAAAATAAATGAAAGTAATATATCATTTAAAATATAACTTTTGAGCAAGTATATTATTTTATTTTATTTTTAAACAATAAAAAAATGAAAATTAAAACTTAGAGAAAGGTAGCAATCAATAGGTTTGAAAACAGTGCAAGTATATTAATTAATCAATATCCTTATCAACATTTTTCTACATACGTGGATTAAACTCTTATTATGAAAAAAAGAAAAAAATGAAAAAGAAACAAAAAGACCCCTTTTCCCTTTTTGCAATTGTGAATATGTGTATATGTATAATGTAGTGTATCTGTATCTATCTGTCTTTCTTTTTGCACTTGGTGGTGCGCGCGTGTCCATCTATAAAACTACAACTACCTCCTTCCTACCTATCTACCCTGCACGCTCTTTCAATGCTTTCTCTCCCCTACCCTTCTTTATATATTCTAACTCTAACCCTTCTTTTTTCTCTTGTCTCTACAACTCAATAACCAACCAACAACACACTTTTCTCAAACTCTTGGAATAAACAAACCATGGCTCCTTCTTTTGATATAACTTCTCACACTGTTTGTGTTATGGATGCCTCCGGTCAATTAGGGTTTAGTCTTGTTCAAAGACTTCTTCAAAGAGGGTACACCGTTCATGCCTCCATTCAAAAATATGGTAATTCTTGTCATTAATGTTAGATGCTGGCTAATTAATTAGTTAATTAATTGATTAATTTGATATATGTAGCAGAAGAAGATCTATTCAATGGAGTTTCTGCTGATTCTGATAAACTCAAGATTTTTCGATCAGACCCTTTTGATTATCATAGCATAGTTGATGCTCTTAGAGGTTGCTCTGGTTTGTTCTACTCGTTTGAACCTCCTCTTGACCAACCAAATTATGATGTAAGCAACAAAAAATACTTTTCTATCTGTTTCTCAACCATAAATTTGAGTTAGATTGTTTATTTTATTATATAAAAAGATAAAGCATATAGAACAAATTACATTGGGATTTGAGTTTTGGAATTTTTTACAATAAAAAATATTATTTGATGTTGAATATGTAATAATCATAATGAAAGAGTTTTGTTTTTTATTTTTTTAAGTTATTCATAATGGAAGAGTTAATGCATGAGAGTTTTCGTGCTGTTGATAGCTGTGGAGTGAGATGAAAAAGTAGAGTTCCTTTTCGTTTGAACTTTATGAAAGCAAACTCTATTTATTGGTGCACGTGGTAGGCACCATTTGCCTGATTTTCTCATCACTTACTTGTTCTCTCTAACCTCTAATTTCTTCTACTTTCAAGCAAGTTATGGTAGTTTAGGTTTGAATTGGTTATTCATGTGTTCATGTCATAGTCCTTGAACAAACTATGTCTTAGTCAATTTGAGATAGTTAGTTTTCTAATCATATCATTATTTGATTGAAGTATAGGATTATATCAATACTTTATTTATTAAAATATTGGCAATCAATCAATCATGATGAAAATTTTTATATTTACACGCAATGTGGAGCACATGCAATGACTCAAATTTTGTTACAGTAACTTGATTGAATGATAGTATAGACTTAATTTTATGTCCATCATATAAAATTACTATGATTAGTTTATATAATTTCTTTAAAAAGAAATGAAAAATTTTATGCTAAGAATATTCTGTTTCTAAAGAAATGTTTGAACAAAGGAATAACAAATTTTGGTTCCTGCTAAAAAATACTAGTTGTAACGTATTCCTTTTATAAGCAAAAAATTTATTAAGAAAAGTTTATTATCTAATCTTAATTTTTACTAGAAAAAAAAAGAATGTTTTGTAAATACATATATAGTAGTATTAAAATAAAACGTGTGATAAAATTGATGATGACTTGTCTTGGTAACTAATAGGAATATATGGCTGACGTGGAAGTTAGAGCAGCACATAACGTGCTTGAAGCTTGTGCTCAAACAGAAACAATAGATAAGGTTGTTTTCACATCCTCAGCAACTGCTGTTGTTTGGAGAGAGGATCGTAAAACCATTGAACCTGATTTGGATGAAATTCATTGGAGTGATGTCAATTTCTGTCGCAAATTTAAGGTACAGTAATTTATTATCATCTAAAATCAGTTACATCTGAATCATCTAATATTTTTATCGGATGATATAGATGTAACCGGCTGCGTAGTCAAAATGATTATATTTGTAATAGAAAATACGAATAATTGAATGTTATGTTACTATTACAAACAAACAGTTATGGCATGGGATGTCAAAGACACTATCTGAGAAAACAGCGTTTGCATTAGCAATGGACAGAGGAGTGAACATGGTGTCTATCAATGCAGGCTTATTGATGACTCAGGATCTTTCCATTAAACATCCTTATTTAAGAGGAGCTGCTGAAATGTACGAGGATGGTGTCTTTGTGACCGTTGATTTAGGTTTCTTGGTCGATACTCACATCTGTGTCTACGAGGATGTTTCATCCTACGGTCGTTATTTATGCTTCAATCATATTATTAACACTCAAGACGATGCTGTTCAGCTCGCGCACAAATTAACACCTACCGCATCTTCTTCCTTACCCCAAAGGTAAGGGTGTTTTAGTCTTTTTATATTATAAATTTGACTCAATTTTTTAATTATATAGTCAAACATTTGGACTTATAATAATAAAGTACCTTTATTATGTGCAGCGGTGACTATGGAAAGAGTTTCATTGAACAGAAAATAAGCAACAAGAAGTTGAACAAATTAATGGTGGACTTTGAAGCTTAAACTTCAAGGGTTATTTATTGATCTTTTTGAACAGTTATTAGGGAAATAATCTTAGTTGTTCTTATGAGGGAAATCATTCATATGTACAATTACAAAAAATTGTGTATGTATGCACCCACATGTTATATACAACAAATTCATGTTCTTTTAATCAATTCATAATTTATTTATTATTTATTTATTCTAATCGGGATATCTGAAATAGTTGTCTTGTTTTCAATTCAAGCCATTGTTTTCTTTTGCAATAAATTCATAACTTATTATTATCTTCTAAATTTAATTAATTCATATACCTTGAACTATCTCAATTTTTTTTAATAAGCCTCTAAAATCAACAAAGTTGTAATTAAGTTCTGAATTGTTTATTTTTTAATTAGTTTGTTTTTAATTATTAATCAACTATTAGTCCCTATCGATGTAACATATTATAATATACATGAATACACCCTTCAACTAATTTATAGTATATTGTAAATACTCTCACATTCACAATAAATGTCTTATTTGAAATTTTCACACTTTTTAAGATAATAATTAATTATGTTAATTTCAATGATAAAATGAGTATTATTTACTAAAACAATTGTACTCATAATAGCGAAGTAGTTATATGAATATAAATATAATAAATAAGGATAAATTAGTAAAAATAAATAATAAATATTACATTGATATTCTTAAAAGATAAATAATTTGAAAAAATAATAATAAAAAAGATGACTTCTACTGTGAAATAGATGGAGTAGATCTTTCAACTAGTTAATGTTACCAAAGACTCTTTATACATGATTCTTAGAATTTTTGAAACGCGTTGAGAGGCCTCCTTTCAAATCATAAATAAAGACAAGAGTAAATTCTTTGGATGCAATGATCAATCAAAAAAACCCATGAACCATTTACAATGGATTGAGAATTTAATCAGGGGCAAATTTCATTCTCTTACATAGGATGTTTGATCTTTAAAAGAAAGACAAAGCAGATAAATTCAAGATAATGCATAAAATTAGAACCAAGTTGCATTCTTAGAAGAGGTTCTCTTATCTATCATGGAAAGAATTCAATTGATAATAGCAATCGTTTATGGCATGATGTGTTGGGGTTGGTTGAAAATATACATATTGAAGAAGTCTCACATCGCTTAGTTTTGTGAATGAAGAGAAAGTCCACAGCTATATATATATATATATATATATATATATATATATATATATATATATATATATATATATATATATATATATATATATATATATATATATATATATATATATATATATATATATATATATATATATATATATATATATATATATATATATATATATATAATACAAGTTTTTTGAAGACTCATATCGCTTAGTTTTGTGAAGGAAGAGGGAGTCCAAGACTATATATATAGGATTCAAGTTCTTCATTCCAAGATGCACCAGTCAAAAGCAATTTAAGCTTGTATTTGACTTTTTTTAATATATTTTCTCTTATACTCTTATTTTAGAGTGTTGTGAGAGGTAGTTAAATATTTGCTTTGGAGAGTGTGGGTGTATTGGGGCCTTGGGGTGGTTGAGGGTAGTTTATGTGTTGTAACAATTTTTACATAGCGTTATTCTTTGGTTGTCATCGGACAACAGTTGAGGTTTTTTCTTCGGTTTTGGAGTTTCCACGTTATGTTCCTATGTTGTGATTGTGTTCCTATTTTTTCTCTATATTTGTTTGTTTTTTCCAATAACAAACATTTGTGGGGGAGAATGTTGAGTGCAAGTATGAGTGGTTAAAGTCACACATTGCCTATGAATGAGTGGAATGTTGGATTTATAAGAGAGATGACTCATTTACCTAACACTTTAAGGTTTTTGGTTGAGATTCGGTGTATCCCTCTCTTGTAGTCGCAGGGCATTAGTATCATTGGTGCTCCCGACTCTCCCGGACTCCCCAATAGTGGTATCAGAGTCGTGATTCAGCTTTGTGGGGGAGCGGAAGTTGGATCTGATGTTGGATCCTGTTATAAGATATGGAGGACTCACACTTATGGAGGAGAATGTTGGGTGCAAGTGTGAATGGGTGGAATGTTGGATTTATAAAAGAGGTGACTCATTTACCTAACACCTTATGGTTTTGAGTTGAGATGTGATGTCTCCCTCTCTCGTAATCCTAGAGCATTAGTCCCATTGGTCCTCCCGACTCTCCCAGACTCCCCAACATGATGGTCTATTCTTTTCACAACTACATGTGACCGAAGAAGACACTAGATCAATTAGATAATTGGCTCAAGAACTTCATTTGGAGTGGAGATATCATGACTAAAAGAATTTAAATTATGGCTAGAAATCCAGTTTTTAAACCATTTAATGGAGGAAGGTTAGGGCTCGGATCGACTAAAAAACTTTATGAAACATTAATCCTTCATCTAAGCGGGAAACTAATGGCCTCTAAAGAAGATTAGGTCAAGGTGTTTAAGGCTAGGTATGTCTCTAATAATCTTCAAATAATCTACAACGTCAGATCTTCTATCTGGCTAGGTATCAATCAGTACTATCGAATGGTTATTAATGACATCAAATGGATAATTGGTACATGGCACATAATCAGCAACTGGAATGATAATTTTTTGGTACAACCTTTAAACGAGCTTTTGAACATACATGTGTGAGCAAGTGTAGCGTGAAAATTTGAGACTAAACTATTGATTAACTTAACTCGCAAAACAAGATTCTCAACCGGACTTTTATTTCTCCAAAGGGAAAAAAGAGTGAACACAATCTAAAGAAGTTTTAAAATAAAAACTAATAAAAACGGAGACAATGGTAAGTGGGTTAGTTACACAAAGGGAACATGTTAGTATCCAAAACATCTACAGTACTCTATAGGAACCTCTTGAAAATCTAGAGTTTGGCTTAAAAAGGTGTTGTTTGCAAAAGATTGGTGAGGTGAGAAGAGAAGTATCTTTTAATAATTTTGTGTTTGACAAAATTTCCTGAGCCTCATGCCTACGTACCCACGAAGTGTAATAGAGGATCAAAACCTTGTAGTTCATGGTACAAATAACAAAATGGTGTGTTATGATTCATTTTAAATGAAAAGATAACTTGTCATTTTAAGGAGAAGGCTTCAACTAATCACCCACAAGTATGTGAAAATTAACCTTTGCATCACCATTAGAAGGGCTCCAACTCGGATAAAATCAACAAGTATGCCACTAACTCTCTAAGGTGGAAAAAAATAAACTCGTTTCAAATAATACTATGGGGATATGAGGATCACATCTCAACTATGAAAATGACTCATGTCTAAACTTTATGAAAAGTTTTAAAAGCAAAAAGTGCACAAAAGGCACAAAATGGTTTGAATGAGTTTTATCTTTTTTAAGTATTTTAAAAATGATCTTGATATGCTTAATATTGATTAGAATTTTTTAATAAAATGAGTTTGAAAATGCACTTGAAAAAGTCAAGGTTTAGTAAGAAATTGGTTCTAGTTTGAAAAAAGAAGGTTTTGAAAAAGGGAGAAGATTTTAAAAATTTAAGAAGGGGAGGAGATGAAGAGGCTATCCTAAAGCATAAAATAAAAGCTAGGTAAGGAAAGATCTAACCAAGATAGCAAGCATTTGACATAAACAAGCCAAAGATCTCATCCTCTGTACTCAACCAACAAGATAAACAATAATAACTAAGCATCAGATGAAAGTCAAGTATCCAAGCCATGTCTTCAAAGAGGTCAACTCAAGGTCAAAGTGTCAGATAAGATCCAAGGTCTCAAGTCAGAACTCCAAAGCATAGATCAAAGAACCTAATTCTAATTCCATAAGTCCATAAGCAAAGAATAGTCACCAAATAGTCCAGGGAAACATTAAGAGTCTTTTAAGATGTTTAGCCTTTATTAATAATATCTTTAAAAAGAAAAGGAAAGTCCAAGTGGACAAAGTGAAAAGGCATAAACATAAACAAGATGAAAATATGATATAAAATGATAAGCATAAAATAAAGAAAAAGAAATAAAGAGCATAAAGATAAAAGTGTATAAAAATAAATGGCATAAAGTAAAAGTTAGCACAATTAAAGTTAGTGTTAATGTTAAAGTTAATGAAGAAAACATTTTGTCATTATAAAGTTGATTACTCAACTAATCAACCCAACAAGTATGAGAACTTTGCATCATCCTTTGAGAATGGCTCCAACTTAGATAAAATCAACAAGTATGTCACTAGCTCTCTTTGATGGAAAAGAATCTACACACTATGGAGATAGGAGAATTACATCTAAACTAAAAAAGACTCATATCTAAAATTGGACCAAATGATTACTTTTCGATTAGGGACAAATTTATCGTTATGTTAAGAAATTGTAGCACAATCTATAAGGAAGATCATACTATGGAAGGTCGATCAATAACAATTTATATACCATACATGTTAGAGATATGATATAAAAATCATACTCATAAAACATGTAACACAAGTCAAAACAAGGTGGAGCAAGACCTAAGTCAAGGAAATAATGGATCTGTTACATCAATCAATCGTTCATGATACTTAGGACAAATTTATGCATCAACCCAAAGTACCTCAATTGATCCAATGATCAATCAAATGGTAGATTTAAAATGATGAAAACAATTGGTTCAACTTCATTACCAAAAACATGGGAAGGAAGAAGTCATTATTCCTCAAATTATGGAAAAGTGGTTATCCTCCCTAGCCTGGTGTCGCGGTGAAATTTGGATACCAAACTATTAATTAGTTCGAATCTTTATTCATTTGCAACCGAACTTTGATTTGTCCAAAGGAAGGGATAAAGATCGAAATTCCCACAATGCAATGCAAATGCAAGCTTTAGAGAGTTATAGGTTCGGGGGTTGCTTAAACTTAGGGAAGGTACTAGCATCCTAAGTTTCTGTAGTACTCTACAGGAACCTCTTGTTTTATGTTTGTTTATTGCTAAGTTATCTGCTTAAGAGTATTGTTAAGGGTTAAAGGTAAAGAGAAAGACCTAAGGGGGTTAGTCCTA